TAAAGATACTTAGAGATATACATATACGTAGATCATTCTAAAATTTAATATTCACTTACAAAAATTCTCTTATTATCAAATATATGTACTTCTATTCTTATAAATTAAAATGTCATTAAACAGGAAACCAGAAATAAATTGATCTTCACTTATGGAATAAAATTTTCTATTAAATAACGGAAGTATTATTTGTATGAATATGTTGTGATACCTAATCAAGCAAAAATTAATTAGAATTGAGAAATCGACTAAAAAGGGAAGGAAAATGGTGACCCAGTGTCCAAGATTGCCACATTTATCACCGTCCTAGATGCAAGTTGTAATACGTAACTCACATAATATATAGGAAGTGTGAACCTGCGTTTTGTTACGGGTCGCAGCTTTTCGGGCATCGTTAGTCCATTTTGCGACTTTCGCTAATTTTAGTAGGCGCGGCGAAATTCCACGAACTGCAGTGTCTACCAGTTTTTCACGTCTGTACACAATCACATGTCAATCTGACTGTAACGTATCACAATATATCATCACAATATCATTACATTAAATTGCTGAATTAATAAATTAAGTAATAAATCGTATTTGTCACAACAAAAATTTTTTATTCTAAAGCAATTATTTATGTAACATTAATTTATTTAAATATTATATATAACTTAATTCTCTTTGTATTTTAATACAATACATAATATCTTTAATCACAATTATTTCATTATATTCAATAAATATGAATTAATTTAATGTATTTTAATAGATAATAGTTTTTGGTATATTCAATATTACCTTTAAATATTTTCCATATTCAACATTGGACTAGTATTTTGAATGTCAACATTGGACTTGGTCCATTTTCAATATCAACATGGCACTTGCACTTAATTTCAAATATTTTATCTGACTCTTATATCATGTAACGCCTTTTTTTTAGTAAACATTCTTGGTAAGCAGCAAGCATGTATGAATTACAAAACTATGTGAAAAGTAGTAAGGAATACGTAATACATATAACTCAAGCTAAACTAGCTTTGGAAAATTACACACACACATACACCTATGCAGAGTGTTCCAGTCTTATGTACCGTGGCGACCGTTAATGGCAAATTCCTGAGATTTTGAGACAAATATTCTAATAAGTATCGAAACTACAATAGTTTCTAAATAAAAAATATTCTTTAAGTTATTTAATTAAACTGCTTGAAATTTTTTTGCGCACTCAGACATGATACGTTATACAGCAGTGAATGAATAGAAAAGAATAGAATTGATGTTTGAAAACATATTTACTATTGTGCAACGTTATACCATGTTTGAACGGACGAATTTTTAACAATTTAATTGGCTAACTTTAAAAACTCTTTATTTAAAAACTACGATAGCTTTGACATTTCGGTATTAAAATATTTGTCTTGAAATAATCTTAGGAATTTTCCATTAATGGTTGTCTCACACACACACACACACACACACACACACATATACACATACACACAGTAAATCTATTACGCCATATATATTTTTTATTTCGTTGCAGAATTAAAATAAAATCTATTTAATATTTATTTAAATTTAATTTTACGCATTTAAAAATTTAATTCTTCAAAATTATAAGAAAAGAAAGAGCTACAGTTTAAACAAGTTCTTTAATGCTTAATTATCAAACAATGAATACTTATAAAATTATCAACGAACGTTTCAACTTCAATCGTGTTATTCTCATTATTAGAAGATAATTAAATTATTAGATCCAGTACAAAATGTTAATATTAAAATGGCAATTGAAAATCAATAATTAAACTTACAAAATTTAGTCTCTCTCTCTCTCTCTCTCTCTCTCTCTCTCTCTCTCTCTCTCTCTCTCTCTCTCTCTCGCTCGCTAGCACTTACAAATATATTTATTTAAATTTTAAACAGTTTGAGTTTATAGTTTCCGAAGATTATTAATAACCGCTAAAAACTAATAAATTGTGATAGTAAAGCAGTTGTCAAAAATCATGAGATGTCAAAATGATAATTTGCAGATAGTAACCAAAGGACAGTAACTTCACAACATTACAATTATAAAAATGTGACTAATTGTCAACAAATTAAGCAGGATGTGCAAATTTTGTAATATAAAAATAATTATTTAGCGTTATCAACCTACATTATAAATGAATTCCTGCAACTATCAGAACCAAGTAATGATGTGTCATGTAATACGTTATAAAATTGAAATGGACCATTGTCTGCAAATTATTTTGACATTTCATAACTTTTTAATGTTTTTACCATTGCCTTATTGACTGTTTGCAGCTGTAAACATCCTGTAATTGTAAGTGAATATACATATTTGTAAATACAAATTCTAATTTAATTTTTATTATAATTTCGTAAGGGTATAGTTATAGAATTCAACTATTGTTTTAATATTAATAGTTTTGTACTGCATCAAATAATTTAGTTATTATTTAAATCGATGTCGCAACATTCTCGCGGTCCAATAAGATTTGCTATTATTTAATTATTATTATTATTACATTTAACATTAAGAATGATCTAATTATGGTTAATATTTTTATAAATTTTCATCATTTGATTACTAAGCATTAAACAACTTGTTTGACTGGTAACCTCTTTTTTCTTAATTTTTGAAATTTAAAACTATTTGAGTCTAAATCTATTAACTTTATATAAGTTCTAATTTTTTAATACACTACTCAACAAAATCTATGGAACACTTTCAAACACGCTAAAAATTTAACAATATTCAGAATACAGTAACTCGGTAAAAAACCATCGCAGACGAAAAACTAAAAAAGTATTTTAAAGGTTGAAATACTCTACTTTTGAAATCTATAACTGAAATTTCAATATGACTGATACTTTACGAAATTATACGGATACAAATGGATTGTATCCATTGTAAGATTTTTGTTTTCACCGAGTTATTGAACGTTGAAGCAAAAGTGATCACTTTTCTATAATCTTACATCAAATATCAAATAAAACCTCATGCCATAAATCTTTGTAAAGTTTGTAAAAAATTTTTAGATTTGACGGATATCTAATTGTATCCGTATAACTCCGTAAAGTATCAGTCATATTAAACTTTCAATTATATATATAGATTTCGAAAGTAAAGATTTCAACTTTTAAAATGCCTTTTTAATTTTTCGTCTGCGACGGTTTTTCATTGAGTTACGTTCTGAGTACTGCCAAATTTTTAGCATGTTTGAAAGTGTTTCCTACATTTTGTTGAGTAGTGTATATATACCATATATATATATATATATATATATATATAATTATAGATCTAATAACTAAATAATTTCCAATCTAAAAATTATTTAATACATAAACGCGATATTTCATATTTATGCTATCACATTGGGTGCGTTCTTTTAGGCATCGGATTTGGCAGCCGCTGCGCATCGGATTTGCCGAACGGGCATTTTTTATACGATCACGCAGATACGTAGCCGGCTGCGCAGCTAATTCTAATCGTCTGCGTATCTACTGCGTATCTATTACCAAAAGAACGAACATCTGCGCTGCAATCGACTGTGCAGTTGTGCTAAAAGAACGAATCATTGCAAGAACTGCTGTATCCGATGCCTAAAAGAACGCACCCATTGTGAAGTGTTATTGATTGTCGAATGTTAAGAGCGAGAGGGAGAGAGAGAGAAAGAGCATGCTTAATCTAATAAAATACAATCCAATCTATTAAATAATAAAAGGGAAGTATAGTAAATTTTGTTAAATACATTTTTCCATATATATGCTTTACTTCCTCTTACGAATAAATCACCTTTCCGCATTTTACATATCACATTTTTCTATCGTATTTTGATACATTTTCGTTGCATGTCTTGCATTTTATACTAGTTTATTATATATATGAAAAATCTATCAAAATTAATCTAACAAAAATATTTTTACACATACACAGACGTTTCTTTCTATACATTTAATAAAATATTATCTTAACTTGTTATATTTTTATAATATTAAAGTTTTTAATTAAAATGTAAAGATCATCTAGTTTCCATTTAGATATTTCTCGGTTTTTTTGGGAACTCTTTCAAAATAATTTAATATTGTAATTAAAAAGTCTGATTTATTTTTAATATATTTGATATTAAATTGTGTTGATATATGTTTTTTCTACCATTCTCAAGTAAAATGTGCTGTATATGTATTATTAGAAAATTACCCTATGTATTAGTATGATATAAATAAAAAAAATGCAATAAAATAGAATTTTATATGGAATAATTAATACATTAAAATGTATAGTGCAAAAATGTATTCCTCTTATACCAAAAAATCAGATTCATGATATGAATTTTAAATATCATATACATATGATGCGAAACTGATACGTCTGTTAATCGACATATTTATTGTTCGAAGCATACTAAGTATAGTGAAGTTACGGTATCCCTTTCTTACATTTCGTGACACTTCACCCTTATTCACGGATCGTAGTAATGTTGAAAAAATTTGTTGCGCAATTAATTTCTCTAACTGCATACGTTATCTTCAGATTGCAACTCCAGCAAGAAATTACGAAACGTTAACGTCGACTCAGTACATACATCGGCTACGAAACGTACTTCGAAATAGCGGGCGAATTGCGCCCATATTCCCGGTTCCTTTCGCTTTTCAGCCCGTCTGCGAAAGGCTGAGAAAATAACAGCGGTATTTGGCTAAGTGCGTACAGGTCCACGAATCTATTTGAGTAAAAAGTCAAGACGAAAGAAGAGTAGGAGGGAGAGGACAAGCAAAAACGACTTGGTGAAGAGATCGATATTGGTCCATGATTTCCCGCGTAATAAAAATCAACGAATGTATCCAATCGTCACTACTGCTTATCCAAGGCTGGACCAATGGTCGGCAAGTAGCACGAGGCTATCAACCAGCCGAATGTAACAGCACCGTCAACCAAGTTAGTTGGTGAAACCTTCGAGCTGTGGCTATCACATCCTTGATCATTGTCAACCGACACCTCCTGCAGTCTTCAACAAGCTCTGATTCTCAACTGGACTGGCTATCATGTACACTTTCGTCTTTCGCATCTGGTAAATTGTCACATTTTATTATGTTATTGTACACATTAGCTTTAATTGTAAGGATTTTTTTTTTTATTTAAATAGATAAAAAAATAAACAATTTTTACGATTTTTTTTCTTTTTTTTTAACAGAAAATCCCTACATCTAAAAATTACTGTGATAATTGCATCTTTCATAGTCATATGTAATAAATTAAAATAATTAAATATTTAAAAACTATAAATGCATCTTCAAATACAAAAAATACAAGTTTATTTATTTTTTTACTTCTTTTAATTCTGATTTTCTTAATTGAAGGATCCTCCTTTTCATCATTTATTGTAATATTTTAAGAAAATATATTTTAAAATGTGTTTTTTAAACTTAAAAAGAACGAAAAGGATTATATTCTCAGGATTATATTCTCAGCTCAAAAACAACAAGAAACGTACCACTTTTGTCCCTTTGGGGGCAAAATCAGCATTTTTTTAACATCTTTATAAAAATATTTTATTTATTGTAAAAATAGTTCATATATGAGCATAAATATTTTATATGTGAACATCATTTTATCTTCACAAAGAAAGTTATTCCTTAATTTTTAATGCAATATTATAATAATTAAGATTATGCGGCTATCGGAAGATATCAAATATCGGGTGCAGTCAAGAATTATCTTCAGAATCGGATTAACGTGTTACATATAAGTGTATTGTAATTTCCAAAAATAAATAAATATTAGTATTTATCAGATCGAGTTAGGATATAAAGATCATTTGCTATATGTATGTATAAATAAGGGAAAATTATGGCTAATTGATGGACATTGTGTGCAAAAAAACTTGTAGACACTAATATTAATATTAAACTACAATTATTGTTATGGTTCTACTATCAGAATGAAATTATGTGTATCGAATAATTAAATTTCTATTTTTATTATATATTGTCGTTCTTCGTATTAATGGGCACATATTTTTGATAACTAAAATATTTTATAATGCTTTCATAATATAGTAATTCATTTATAGTTTTCTTTTAGAATTTAATTAAATTATTATCCGTTCAATATATCAATTCAATTTTAATATGCATAACGTGACTACAAGTGACCAATGTACGAATAATTATTTATAAACATTTGATTAAAAGCGTAGTCTTTAATTTTTCGTTGAGTAATATTACAAAACTAGATTTGTACATAATTTTGAAATAGCGATATAAAGAATGTTATGTCACATATTTGTGTCTACACACACACATGACTAAATTTATTATCTGTATATGTACATATAACTCAAGTGCAAATTTTTATGAAAAGTAACACCTTTGACTAAAGTCTAGTGTTTTTAAATCATTTGCATGTAAATTAAATACGACATGTTTCCTATTTTATTTTATAATCACGTCTTTACTGAACTTGTAACTAGCCTATTTTTTTATACACTTATGTGTATTAAAAATTGCAATGATTGATAAATACACGTTAAACGTAAAACAGAATTTTCCTCGAACATGTCATGAACTTATAATTATGGAGAAATACGGAAATATTTTTTTCCATTTCATAATAAAAGTATGAAAAAAAAGTATTAAAAAAATTAAATAAACATATTTAATGAATATTTTATTCTCTTCACAGACATTTCTTTTCATCATTTTTATTACTATAGAAAGAAATTGTATATCTCAAAAAAGCATTAGTTTGATTTTCTTAATTAATATATTAAGGAGGAGAAAAAAGGGCTAATGTGTGAGAGTCACATCTCAAATACAAAAAAAATCATATATTAATGTCTTTAAAAATAATACATATATTAATAAAAACGCAAAAAATGCTAGAACATTTTCAGATTAAAAGTAACACACGAAGAATCATATAAAAACATCTTAATTAATAATACAAGACTTTCATACGAATCATATTTTGATATTTATAGTATAACATTTATTGAGTAGCTGCTATGAATAGTTAACTACTTCTTTACCTTTTTCACTCAGCGAGGCCATTTCGCTATGATATATAAATTCTGCACGTATGTATAGGCATGACGATTATTTACCTTTGCTTCTTCTTCAAATCTCTTCATACGAAGCAAAGATCTACTGTTTATACCGGGTGGGGCAATAACTTTGTCCACCTTGAATATCTCCGCTATTCTTAGAGATATGAAAATATTGTTATTACAAAAGTTGTGGGGCATCAAGAGAACTATAACATATGCTAGTCATAATTTTTTTAGGTGGAGGCGCTTCTGAGATTTCAAGGTCAACTTCATTTTTTTAAGTGGAATTATATGAATTTTTTTTTCACTATATGATTCCCCTAATTATTCTGTACATAAAAGTATTAAGGTTGAGATATAAAAAAACCAATAGTTTACGAGATATTTTACACATTGTTTTGGTGCATATTGACAAAAAATGTTTAATAATTCATGAACTGTTGACTTTTTATATATTCGTACCTTAATGCTTTTGTAAACAGTTTAATGAGGTGAATCAATTGGTGTGAAGAAAACACATAGTTGCTTATTTCTAAATTATCCATTTTGCGTACGTATTTTTTTATAGCAACTATGCGTTTTCTTCAGTTTCCATCTACCAATCGCTTATAATAAATTCCTTACCTTGATGTCGGATGCATCATTATTTCACCAATAATTTATCTATACGATGTTTTTTCGTTTTGTTACTTCTGAAGAAGACTCAATCCATGAGTCGAAACATGTAAAGTTTGATTAAGCCCTTTTTTTATTTTTGTATTAAGTTCGTTCTTGTCTTTTCATATTTATGTATATATTTTTATATCTTCGTATTTAGTCTTGTTTTTCATGTTAATTTATATTAATTTATTTTATCTTTTTACTATGTGATTAAAGAAATTTTTAATGTTTGACTCTTAATTTGTCTTTTTGATTTCTATTTATGTTTGAGAATAAGAGTCCTTTACTTACTTATTTATTCGATTAATGATCTTTTATTTCAGTGTGGCCTGCACACTCCTTGCTGTGGCCTTCGCCGAGATACGTGAGTAACGTTATGGATATTAAAGTATGTGTGTATTTTGTGTATGTGTGTGTGTGTGTGTGTGTGTGTGTGTGTGTGTGTGTGTGTGTGTGTGTGTGTGTGTGTGTGTGTGTGTGTGTGTGTGTGCTGTGTTTGATTGTTTACAGATTATATTCATAGGTATTATAAAATAATAAAACAATATAAGTAGTATTAGGCTCTTCAGAAATGAAATATAAGTTATTAATATTGCCAATAAGAGCTAATATTGAATAAACGCATTATATAGGTAATATAGTAAGTTAAATATTATCTCGATTCCTATTTTTAAGTCCTCTCTCCTCATATATATAAATTGAGTTTAATTAATTTTAATATATATAAATGTGTTTCTCATTTTCGTATTTAAATCCAATGAGAAAATGTCAATTTTAATTACTATTAATTATATCCAATTTATGTTCCGAAGAAGACCCAAAAATAATAATAATAAATAGTAATACACTATTAAATTATAAAATTATAAAAGTGCATCTAATCATAAAGTTGTCCATCACATATGTGTATTACGTGATACACAAGTTAGAAAAATCTTAATCATTAATCTCATCTTAACGATGTGTGTATTACATTAGCAACAATGGTAAGGAAATATTGCATCCGTACGATTATTCAATGTGACTTGAAATAATATGAAGTTGTTATGTAAAATATGGTAAAATTATTATTTAAGATAATAAAAAAAACAGTAATTTTCTTAATAAACGACAAACAGTCAATTGCAAAAGAGAATCCAATCCATCAATAGAATTAAATGAGCGTTAATTTGTTTATAACAAATTTGTAAAAAATGTTATACATATATTTAATTTATGCAAATATTGTTTTTATTGATCCATAAACGAGTATCATGAACAGAAATGAATATCATGTTGCCATGTAATACTTAATCTTGAATTATTATAACTAATTATAATTTAATAGAAGGACTATGAGTCAAAGCAAGATGTAATAAATTAGAATTATATTAACATAGAATTAAAATTGAAATAAGCAAACATTTGTCATTGTGTTTATCTTCTCATAAAATTATTTTCTGAAGTATGTTAATCATCTAGCTTAACATACTTTAAACATTTCACATCGCAGCATTTAACATTTGTTCTTTATTATAATTGATTATTTTATTATTGGACAAATTAAACATAAAGCTCTTTTATCGTTTGACTATATTATAGACTTATAAAATACATACCCAGTATGGGTATATATATCCCACTGTGAGAACAAGAAAACAATAGTAAAAAATCTCTATTCGTCTACTTTACTGTGCGCGAATATGCGCGCGTAAGAGAAGAATAGAAATTCACACACATCGATGTTTTACATCTCTTAAGATACGTCCGAGAGACTCTATTAACGCTAATTGTGTAATTCTATTTTTATTTTACGTCCAATGAACGATGAAGATAGAATGACACAAATAGCGTTAATAGCGTCTCTCCACAAACGCACTCTTACCGTTTTTTTTTTGTTGGTTTCACTTCTATCATAGAGGCATGCTGCGTCTATTTTATAAGTATACGCACCCTACTCACAAGCTCTGCGACAGTTCGTTTTAGAATATAACATATTATATTGAGAACATTCAATGTACATTTAATTTTGTACTGATAATGACCGAAAACTAAGATCGAAATATATGCCATAAAATTTTAAACATTAAAATTATATATTTACAATAATATCTCGTATGGCTCATTTGATTTTTATAAAATCGAATAGCTCATATTGATTTTTATAAAATCGAAAAACAACATTCTCTTGCTGTTTTGTATAATGGGCAAATAAGAGTAAATAACAATCACCGCAGTTCTCAGTGCGTTAAAATAATTTAATGTCAAGGTTAAAAAACCAATCCAAGTTCCGGACGTTTCGACTGACTTCCACTCGAATATCATGATATCGGTGACCGTTTATGTTGTGAGTTGTTGTGCTCGTAAATGACTTTGATTTTGATCGTTATATAAGATTTTATTTTAATGTTCCTGTGTTCGGTCAAGGCGGATTATTATCATCTGAGACAATGATAATTTTGTTTATCACATGATTTCAACTGCAATTGAAATTTGGGTGGACTTACATGTTTTTGACCGATCAGAGGATTGTTTGAAATGACCAATCGCTTATATTAATTTTACTGTATGCTGAAGATGACTGGAAAAGTCAGTCGAAACGTTCGCAACTTGGATTGGTTTTTTAACCTTGACATTAAATTATTTTAACGCACTGAGAACTGCGGTGATTGTTTTTTACTCTCATTTGCCCATTATACAAATAAGTTGTGTTTGAATTTCGAGAGTCCATTATAACTGTTATTTTTTTCTCTTGCTTTGTTAACAAATTCCAGGCTATGACATTTATATTACATGATTCAGTAAATTATAATTTAATATTAATAAATTTATAAAATCAAATTTTCATTTTATATGATTTTACATGTCTGCGATTTCATATAAAATAATCTAATAGAACTATATATATTTATAAAACGTTTTTTAAAATTAAACATAAAAACTAAGCCTCTATTTGCATAACTAATCTCAAATTCAAACTCATCGAGTATCATAAACGAGCACTAATGTTTTAGAAAATTTTGTTCTTCTACATGTCAAAGCAATTATCATTTATTGATTTTTACTTGGAAGAAAAAGTACATAACGGATATGATTTACATGTATACTAAAAGTAAATAATTTAGAGAAGTTAATTAAATGTCTCAAAATTATGATCAATTTTTGTTGAGGAAATTTATAAAATAGTTTATATGATAATAACGATTACTAAACATGTTAATAGCTTATTTACTTAAATCATGTAATAAAATACCTAGATATATTTTCATATAAATGTACTGGATTTCATTGCAGACAATGTCTTTTTCAAAATAAATAATACAATATAAAATATATCAATCTACATAAGAATCATCACATTAAAACTTTTTTGCATTACATTATTTACTCTCGTTTCCTCTTTTCAAATCTCCTAAATATCTTTTATATGTAGATTTTTTAATTTACTTTGTCTTATTAAATACTTATTACGTATAAAATATTTTTCTTTTTTTATATTAATGCATTTATTATTTGAAAACAATTTTATAGATATGATATACAAATGATTTAATTAAAGCTACGCTTTTCCAAAAAGCTTGATAAATACTGCGCTCATTAATTTTACATTGATTTAATTCAAATACATTTATAATTTATAATATATCTAAAAACAATGTATATATTAGTAAATTATAAATATATAAAAATATGATTTCTTTCATCATGGATGAAAATGTAAATAATAGCAATCATTACTATCTTATTTCTTATCTCTCATATAAATGTATTATTTGTTATAAGATTTACAAAATATCATTAAAATAATTTTATAGTTTAGAGAAAATTCATAAATCGGTTTTGTGTTTTTTACAGCATCGTACATAAAAATATGTCATCGAAAGGATCCAAATATAAATAATTGCGTACTTAATTCAATTGAGCAACTACGAAGCAAATTGAAGGCAGGAATTCCAGAATTAGAGGTTCCAGCAATTGAACCACTTACATTAAAACATATACGATTATTGAGAGGTCCTCAAGCTGCAAGGCTTGATGTCAACCTTACAAATTTACAGGTGATTATATCAAAACTTATTATTTTTTTTTAAATTTTTAAAGTTTTTATTATTTACAGTATAACTTCAGAAATATATGTATGAATGAATATATGTATATATATTGAGTGTACAAATAAGTTTTAAAGCGTTTTTTGTATAACCTACAATTTAAACTTAGAATTCAAATATTTTCGCGCTCGTTTGATATGTGGTGGCGCTTAATGTGTACTATTAAAAAAAAACAATTAACTTCACACACACACAAAATTGGAAACTTAATCTCAAAATTAAATGGTTTTAAAATGGCGAGCAACAAGCAATTTATTCGACACTCGATACAAATTTTATCAAGGAAAAAGCGCTGCTAAAGCATATGAATCAATTTGTTCTATTCTTGGAAACAATGTTGTATTCAAAAGTACGTGCGAGTTTTGGTTTAGGCGAATTAAAGAGAATGATTTAAATGTTAGCGATAGAGAACGTAGTATGGTGCTCCTCAGAAGGTTACAGACAATCAATTGCAAGCATTACTCGATCAAAACTCATGTTAAACACAAAAAGAATTTGCACAGCAACTTGGAGTAACTCAACAAGATATTTTAATTCGTTTACGGCAGATGGGAAGGATTCTGAAGGAAGGAAAGTATAAGTGCCGCATGCATTAAGTGAAAAAAACAAAATGATGACTTGAGAAGTGTTTTGAATCTGTACAATAAACAAAATAGAAAATCTTTCTTGTGGAAATCGTGACTGGTGATGAAAAGTGGATTTTTTACGATAATCCTAAAAAGAGAAAACATTATGTGGATCCAGGGCAACCCACTACGTCAACGCCAAAACGCAACATCCATAGCAGCAAAGTTTTGCTATGCATCTAGTGGGACATGAAGATAGAAATGCTATATTATGAGCTGCTCCACCCGAACGAAATGATTAACAGTGATCGCTACAGTCAACAATTGATCCGTTAAATAAAGAAATCGAACGAAATCGTTCATTTACTAGCAAAGGAAAACATCTCGTGAAATTGCTTCATGACAACGCTAGGCCTCATGTTAGTAAATCTGTAAAGGAAACGTTGCTAGCGCTTGGTTGGGAAATTCTACCGCACCCGGCGTATAGCCCAGATATAGCCCGTTCAGACTATCATTTATTCCGGTCAATGCAAAACGCCTTGCCCGGTGTACACATTCGAGCATTTGAAGAAAATGGATAGATAATTTTATCGCATCGAAAGACGAAACCTTCTTGGCTTCTAGAATTCGCAAGCTGCACGAAAGATGGCTAAAGGTCAGATAATGACGGAGATTATTTTAATAATTAAGTATGTTTTCGTTTCTAAATAAATAAATATTAAATTTCATTAAAAACGCTTTAAAACTTATTTGTACACCTATGATTGAAGATTTAGTAAAAAAAAAACTGTAAATATTGTCTATAAATTATTAATAATGTATTTTATTATATTTATCAAAAATACATAAACACATATATAGTCAATGGCATAACAGGGTCATTAACTGTAAATGAATAATTTATTGCAAAAAATTAAAATTAAAATTATATTTTAAAAATACATTATATGCACTAATTAATATGAATAGTATCCAATAACTATTATTATTAACTGTCATCGAGACATGCTTCCTATGAGATTTGCATTCGGAGATTGAGAAAGCCAATCCATCAATTATATTTGTAAAAAAGTTGTGAAAAACACGTCTCGTGGAAAGCATAACAAACTATAATTAATAATAGTAATTAAAGGCTGTTTTAAGTAAATGCATTTTAATAAAAATGTAATGTATACTTTTAAAGTATATCTTTATTTATGCTCGGCGCTCCTTTTAAATAATTAACTTCTTTCAAATAATAATGCTTCTTACTGATTGTAAATATGATATTTTTGAATTAAAAACTTATGTGTATTAGGTATTTGGACCATCAACATTTAAAATCCGAGATTTAAAAATTGACCCGGAGAATGTGTTTATTACTTTCAAAGTTGGCTTTCAAAAACTTGACTTTCGAGGAAAATATAAAATAAATGCACAAATTCTTTTGCTCAACCTAGTTGGAGATGGAAATCTCACTGGAACCTTCTGTAAGTTCTTTACACATTTTTATGGTTATTAATAACTATTATGATAACAAAATGATTTCCATATTTATAAAAAGAGATAACAAAAAAATTTACAAGAATATTTGTTTCTGCGTTTAACTTGTTACATGTTTGCAGTTGGTTACGATAGCGAGTGCTTGATGAAAAGTAAAAAAATTATTAAAAACAACAGCACATATGTGAACTTTGAAAAGATGAAAATTAAAATAAAAATAAACAAAGCTGCACTCAATTTTGACAATCTATTTGGTGGCGATCCTGTTCTTGGTATGTTATTATTTCATGCAATGTCTCTATCACGAGAAACTCATTGGAAGTACAAGCATCATTATATTTGCACTACGATTGACTTTCTTTCTTTTAAACCAGGATCAGCAAGCAACGAAATTTTGAATTCAAATAGCGAATTCTTAATAGATGAAATAAGACCAGTACTGGAAGACAGCTTGTCAGATCTCTTCACGAGTATCGCAAACAAGATTACCTTAAAGTTTACATACGACGATTTGTTCCCGAATAATTAATCTTTCTATTCTGGCGATTCATTATTAACAATAGATTACGTTATCATTTCTTTATTCTGAAATGTTTAAATGTTGTTTTTTTTTTGTTGTATTTAATAAGAAAATTTTGATGAAACTGTAGCAATACTGTAATATTTCCGCAGCTTTTTTTTTTTAGGTGTATATCTCATAACAAACACATATAATTAATATAATATACAAACTTATATTGCATTTAACTGTTTTGAAATTAACACTTAATTGCTTTACAAAAATTACAACGAGAAAACTTTTTTGCAATCTACCTTTTAGAACAATTATGCAATAACATCTCAGATAGTCAAATTATTGTACTTTAATCCCAAGTTTATTATCAGTAATGCATTAAACGTATTAAACTTACTGTAGAGGAAAAGGTAATATTATAGTCAATATAGATACAATAGCCCCCTTATCTCTGCTATTAAGTCGCGAATACTGTAGTGATTACTTACGGAATTATTATATATATTTAATAATTAATACGTTAAACAGGGTAAATAAGAGTCAAATTACAATTAAAAATCTAAATCTAATAATTTATTCTAATATATTGCGAAAAATATCACGTAATTTTTCGCAATATATTAGAATAAATTATCAAATTTAGATTTTTAGTTGTAATTTGACTCTTATTTGCCCTGTTTAACGTATTAATTATTATTATATAAAAGAGTCCTTGAAATCTTCACTTTATTTATATATATTTACTTACAAATAAGCCTACTCAAGTATTACACTCCGATTTTGATGAGTTCTTAATATATTGTTCTCCAGATAAAAATACGTGTCCCTTATTTTCATCTGGAGAACAACATACTAAAAACTCATCAAAATTGAAGTGTCATACAATACCTCTTTTTTCTCATTATCAGATGAAATACCGAATGAAGCCAGCGTACTTGAGCTATGTTCCAAATCTATAGTTTATGTTACGTGCACTATAATAGATTTTCAATATTCAGAATATTAACAGAACAATTTGCAATACATACTATAAAAATCAATTGTTAATTGTACCCACAATTAAATAATGATTACAATTAATTAATTGTAATCATACAAACCCACAATTACAATTAACTTATTTAATTGTCAATTGCAATTAAAAATGTAATTTTAATTGTTAATTATTAATTCTCAAAACAATTTAATTGTGCCCAACACTGGTAGTAGGCAAACGGAACCCTATCAGTGATACGTCATATATATATACATTAATTTAAATACACATACCAACAATACTTTACTTTTCTGTTAATTTTGGAATGTTGTCTTTTTATTCAAAGCTAATGTTTTAAATCTATTTTTGTGGATGGCCAACCACCTCTGTTTCTCGTCGAGCTATTATGCAATGTCATCTTATTTTTATAAATAGCGTTCTAAATAATAAATGTTTTGTTACTTTAAATTTAGAATCAATTGAACAATATTTTGATAAATGTAATTGTTAAGTTTTAAATTAAATATTGATTATTTTTTAACCAAGTTATTTTACAAAATGTAAATATAGGGTATCATAATACCACTTTCTCCTCTAATAATGTATAGTTCATAATGTACAATTCCTAAAAAAATATTCAGATATTGTATTTAATAATTCAATGTCTCTAAAACATCCGATAAAAAGTTTTTTATGCATGAATATATGTATATCAGTATGTATAATATATATAACGTATATAAATATTTATATAGACATACAACTATATTTAAAATGTATCCATATGTCCAGACATTTTTTTTATAAAATTACTTTTTAGTGTAAATTAGATACTCTTTTTCAAGCTTTTAATTCTTTTCATCCTCGACTTCAGTTCACACTGGAAATAGGAGGAGATAAGTTGAACTTTTTAGATACCACTATTTCTAAAATTAATAATATATTTATTTTTGATTGGTACCGAAAACCCACCTTTTCTGGTAGATTCTTGAATTTTCTCTCTAATCATCCTATATCTCAAAAGAGGGGTGTTGTGTTTTCTTTGGTTGACAGAGCTTTTTTACTCTCTGATTTTGGATTTCATAAAAGAAATCTAACTCTTATCATTGACATTTTACTGGATAATGATTATCCTTTGGATTTTATCTTTGATTCTGTCAACCTCAGAATAAAGCATCTATTAAAGAATCATAAAGATCACGCTCGTACACAGATTGATAATAATATTAATGCATGTCCATCTTGGCTTACGGTGCCTTTCATTCCGATCCACGCGGAGAAATTTAAGAGATTTGATAGGAGTGTTGTCAGAGTTTCTTTTCGTAGTCCGAACAAAATGAAAAAATACATTAAGGTGCAAAAGGACTCACGTCTCCACACATCTAAAAGTAACGTCGTTTATAAAATTCAGTGTAACGATTGCGATGCTTCTTATGTGGGGCAAACCAGCAGACAATTGAAAACAAGAATTAAAGAACACCGTAATCATATAAATTATAATAGTTCTACCAGATCGGTAATAACTGATCACAGATTGGAGTATAATCATGACTTTCGGTGGGACGATGTTGAAATTCTTGATGAGGAACCTTGTTACAGGAAGCGATTGGTCTCAGAAATGTTAAATATTAAAAAACAGAAATTTAGCCTAAACTTACAAACCGACACGGAAGGTCTTCATGAAGCATATATACCCATTATAAACAAAATTTGATCTTTCTGTATCAGTTGTTGCCGGTCGTTATTTAGTTGGAATTGGTCCGTTTGAGGATGTTTGACGTGTTCCATGTATTACTTTTTATCTCAAGATGTACTTCGACAGTTTTGTAATATTTCTGACATAAGTTTTTTTAAAGAAAAAATTTTTTACTGTTTTTTTATTGTGTGACAATTATCATTATGACTATTTTTGTAAATATATGGATACACGGACCAACTAATATTTTCACGCATAGATTTGCAAATTTTTTGGTATGTTTTGCGCATCGTTAATTTTCATTCTTAGAATTTAAGATTACAATCTTTTAATTAATATATGTTCATTTATTGTTTTCAGTTATATATTTAACTATGCACAAGATTTTCTTTTGTATTGATGTTTGTCCATAATTATGTACATCTCAACGTTAAGTGTTTCATCTGAAGAGGACCAGATTTGGTGGTCGAAACTAGTAATATAATTTAACATCTGTTTTTTTAATCGTTACATTTATGTAAATTTTTATAAGTTCATTTTAGAATATATGTATTAATTTGTTGTTAATTATCTTTTCGTTTGACTCTTACAATGCCATTTCCACGTTTATAATGTTTAAAAAGATAATTTTTTTGTATTATTTCTTTTTTTTTTAAATCAAATTTTTAAAAATATAAAAAAATTGCTTATGCAATTGCTTATACGGTGTTTGCGAAAATTGTAAAATGATAAAAGACTTTTCTTCTCATTGTCAGTTTAGTCCATTCTACCGCTATGCGATAGATCAATTTTTCTTACATACTTCTCAAACATTCTATATCATTGTATATGATTATATAAAATTATAAATAATTATATATAACTACTTTTTTGACATTTCTCCAAACTTGATTTTCTTTAAAACAAACAATATGAAAATTATTTTTCTAATTATTTTGATGTTTTCTCGTTATCTTTATTACACTAAAAAGTAATTTTACAAAAGAAAGAAGAATGTATAAATATGTATGGACATATTTCATATATAATTTCATACATAATACAATATATATTTATAAATATTTACACATTTTTATGTATGTTTATATTTATGTACATTTAAGCAGAACAAATTTTTGTCAAACAAAAATTCTAAGTTACTTATTTTAAAATAACTATTACGATAGTTGAATTGTTTTATTAGTTTTTGTATTACATTAAAAGCATTGAATGTAATTATGTCACATTTTGTTAGTATTTAAGACATAAAAAAGTGTCAGAACTTCCAAAGACTTCGGCAATAAAACCTTTTTACAAGAAAAGGTTTCAAATAAAAATTTGACAGTTTTAGAGTAAAAATATGCAAATAACTTTTATGCAATACATTTCTTATAATAAGAAATTAATATATAATTCGTATTATATAAAATCGATATTTATCTATACATATACAAAATTTTGTATCTATAAGTATATATATTTCTTGTTATATTCATATGTTTTTCCGTACATGTTATAAACTAAAATTAGTTACAAAACTTGTATTTAAAACATTTATTTCAAAACTTTTTCGTTGTCGATATAATTGAAAATATATTGAAACACCTCTTTTCAACACTTTCTTCGCAATTTATATGTAAACAATAATTTCATTTTCTTTATAAAAAAATAAAAATATAAAGAAATGTTAAAATTTATATTAACCAACTTATATAGCACAAACCTCAAGTCCTATGTCCTTTGAAGCACACAATAATGTAAAATTTTAATGGGAAAGAGATGGGTAAAATAACTGCTCGTATCTATTTGAAATAGCATATGTAAAATAGTTGTAATCTTTCCATTTAGAAATATAAAATGCAAAATGGTTTTTAGACACTTATTTAAAATAGAAAATAGACATTTTTTAAATAGTTTTTTAAAATGGTTTCTTAAAAATGGGTTTTTATAAAAAGGGTCTTTTTAATATTCTTATATTTATCTTTCATATTTATGTATAACTTACATTTATATTTTAATTTTTGTTCTTTATTTTCCATATTCTTTATTATAATTTTTTAGATAATGTATCATAAACTATTATAAAATATATACATTTTTTATATAATATAATAAACGCAAAAGATTTATATAATATAAATTTTATAAAGTTTTAGCAACGTGATGCTTTTAACAGAATAAGTTTTTCAAAGAAGGAATTTCTCATTTTTCTCATAATTAATACTATACGAAAAAGCGTTCTACTGAAGTTAAGCATGGGAGGTACGCATAACTGAGAAAAAATTTATTGACCCTTGGATAGGATTTTAACACTCGGTTATAGAACTATTAATGCCAACTTATGAATGTGTATTTCAAATAGAAAATGGATAATAAAAACCATTTAAATAAAAATGTAGAATAATTTTCGGAAAATGTATTTTAAATACAAAATACAAAATTTAATAATGTGTAGTTATTCAATCGAAGTCACGAATGTATGCATAATTTTCAGAGATGAGCATTATTTGAATTTGTTTCAAATCGATTGAATAACTACACATTATTAAATTTTTATAAATGATTGTGTGAAAAATTGCAAGGCAAATAGAAGCTATAAAATAATTACAGTCCGCATGAGTTTCTCAGAATTATGAGATCTGGTTTTATATCCTTTTACGATAATTACGTTGTTATTAACTCTAAATGAGTGCAATGACAAATGAATAAGATAAAATGAATCATGGCTATTAATATTATATAACTTGTTGCTTTTTCTTCGATTAATATTAACGATATCGGTGATATCGAGATTGTAAAGCTATAACTTTTCAAAATACCTATGTTATGTATATTTTCTTCCTAAAAAAGAAAAAGAGAGAAAGAAAAAATTGTAAAATTAAATAAATAATAAACGTGTTATATATTTTGTTTCTGAGCATGGTAGAAAAAACACAGATGTGTTCGTTCTCAGTTTCTTGGTATCTTCCACCATTGGTTCTCTTTGTGAAAATAAATCTAATAAAACAATTTAAAAACACTTTCATAAGAGTCAGTCCGGATATTGTTGCGCAACTTAAATTTTATTGCAACTCGTGATTCACATTTTTAATATCATTAGTTGTAATAAAATTTAAGTTGCGCATCAATACCCGCACCAGCTCTTATGAAAGTGTTTTTAAATTGTTTTATTACATTTATTTTCAGAGGCATTATACGTTTATAAGTTGGTTAATTTTACAATTCTCTTTTTTTTTCTTTAGACAATTTGGTAATTTAGGAATTATGTTTAAATTAATGTAGAAATAAAATGAATGGCTTATTAAACATATTTTATACATGTAATTTGATTAATTTTAAACGATTGCTAGAAGACATTGTGCAATTAAAATATTACTTTTATTGATCGAATATAATATACATATATGATATGCATGATAGTTTTAACTATCACATTTAATGAGATTATATAACAAACAAATATGTAAATAACAATTTATCAAATAAACGTCTAATTAATTTATATAAGTTATTGTGTATGCTATCCACAGCTATATAAAAGAATAAACATTCCAATGCTTTTCGCATACAAAAGTGTAAGAATGTCTCTGAAACTGCACAAGGTGATTAATTAATAAAATATTTTCTTTGGACATAAAGTAACAACTCTACACACATATATCACCGACTGACCAGTGAATATTATCACGATGCGCGATAAAGAAGTTTAGATAAGAACTAAATAAAAACGATTAATATACTCATCGTACTATTCGCTTTTTTCTATTTCTTTTTTATGAAAAACCAAACAATATATCAAGCCGAACAAAACTCGACTACTTAAGAATTAAGGAACGAGTTCTTGTTTAGTAAGAACACTGAGTGCTCTAGCGGCTAGAGCTTTGCTCACAGTTGCTGCTGTATCCTCAATAATTGGACTGGCTATATCCAGGACTAGACGGGGATTCGAGTTAAAAAATGTTGCAGCTGCATTGGCTAAAATACGAATATAACATTGCATCAAATACGTATTCCTCTTATACAATTATTAAGTCTTAAAGTTTTAAATAAGATATCATTTATACCGGCTAACGTATGTGCAGGAGGTGACTTTAATACAATTTTTCCATCACCAACACGAATTTTAGCAACTAATTTATCAATCTCAATTCGTTGCACGCCGTTTTTGTCAGTAACTTCCTTGGCTTGTGCATTTACTTGAGCATCAGTGTTAGCTGAAATTGAAAGATGTCCATGAAAAAACACAATTTTTAAAAGATTCCACATTAGCATATTAAATAACTGATGCTTAGCTATTTTTATATCAATTATTGTTTTAATCACACTCAAACTTTATTTTAAGATAATTTTAAATATAAAATGCAATATATGTATATATATATATAAATACTCTGTATATAATGTATAAACACTGTCTATAATATCAGAGTGCCTCATTTTAACTATCACATTAGAATATCTCAAAAATTATAAAAATAAGAAAAAATGTTTCAGACAAAAGTTGTACTTATAGTCTGATAAAGTATAAATATATGAAATCTGGTACATCATTTTATCCTTGTTGTTCACCAAATATTAAAGAAAGATAAAATAATACACCTGCGCATAATGCGTGAAACGGAATGCAGTCTATACGTGTAAACTGTGAATACGATGTGAAAAAAGGAGTCGTGATTACGTGATTAAGAGAGTCAATCAGACCTACCCCTAAAACTTTTATGTGGCTAGAAATATAGTGACGATAAAAGTAACTAATGAAATCGTTATCATTATCCCAAAAATGTAACTGCGTTACCAATGTTGCTCCGAAGAAAATGTAACGTCGTTACCTGTTTATCACCTATTTGTATTTGTATTTGAAAAAGGTAATTTGTAACGATAATGACGTTATTACAAATAACGCGTTACTTGTCAATCCTGAAATGCCTTGATATTTTTATGCACAGAATAATGAGATACATTAATTAGTTTAATAAAGATAGAAATTATTTAAAAAAAAAAAAGATGTATGTATTACAATTATTGTACATAATCTTTATATTTTTCGAGATATTTTAATGTAAAAATTTCAAATAGGACATCCTGTATATTGAAACAAGACACTACCATGTCTCCAGATATGTATACACATGTATATACATATATATATATATATATATATATAATAAACGAGATTATCATAAATCATTTAAGATTGTATATTTCTTTAAAAAACTTACTAAAATTTCCTTTAAAGTTACCAACTCCGCTTAGAGGCAGCAACAACAGTCTGCCTTGAACATCATAATCGCCGCTTACATACATATGAGGCATTCGAGCCTTTATGGAAATCGTTAAGTCATTGGGATTTGCTTTGAGATCTTGTATGACATAATTTGTGCCGCCGTAGACGCGAATTTGGCTCATGTTGGCCTTAATTTTTAAGGATTCTAGATTTCTATCTATAGTCAAGGATGGTAGGAACAAAGGATCTAAAGCTGGTAATTTCAAAGAGGGTACTCCCTTGGCGAGATATGGCGTGATCGCTTGTAATTGCTTTAAAACACATTTATCATATTCCGATAAGTTGTTCGTTCGTGGACATGACGTTACTCCAGGAGCTGAAAATATCGATTGTACATTAATAGTAATATAAAGACTTATTTATCTGTATTAAAATAATTTATTACAAAATGAATCATTTAATCGATACAGAAGAAACAAGATCTATCAATTTATATAATATATTATTCTAATCTGCAAAATCTAGAAATAGTCTAATTAAAATTAATATAAAATAAATATATAAAGGTATACAATTAATCATATAAATTTTTTGAGAGAATATTTGGATTAAATACTTACATATGCATATTTATAAATCAAATTATACTTAGGTATATATTTAAATCTGTTGAAAACTTATTTCAGATAAACTTCATATTTATTTTTTCATGGATAATAAAAGATTATTAAAAATTTTGATAATATCATATAGCATATAAAATATAAAAAGACGTTATACAATTAAATATTTATGATTTATAACATTTATTACAATTTATTATAACTTATAACATTTGAGATATAAAATCAAAAATATGTTTCTTATTTCTAAATGTTCCCTTATAAATTTTCAATTACGCATAGTTTCTTTTCTTGGAATTTATTAAAGAATCTTTAATTGTTTATTTCATGAAACAAATATTATATTATACGCAACAATTCAAAATAACAAAGTTAATAGAATTAAATAAGATACAAATTTTTTCATTGTATTTGTTCTTAAGATGCCATAATGTTGTAAAAGATAGTCATTAAGCACCTTTAAGTAAGCAAGCACAGACGTTGCACCCTGTTACGACGTCAGTTGAGCGAACGCGATAATCGTAAGAACTCGACGATGACTAAGAGAGCGGCTTTTTTTTCCGGCCAATCGATCGGCCAGGCCTAAAATCGAAAGTGCACGGTAGAAAGTGAAATTATGAAGCCGGCGGGCGAATGAGTATTTCCTTTTTTTACTCTTTTTTATTAGCGCTTAATGTGATAAATTCGTATACATTCACGTGAAACATCGATAGAAACATGAATGTAGATAACTGAAAAAGAATCTACAAGCGAATAGATCAATAAGAAAAAAATAACGAATTATTTAAAAAAATAAGATAAAAATTGAAATATTAAGACAATATATTTTCGGCGTTGATAAAATTAATTTCTAAAAAATAAATTCTTCAGTTTGACTTTCTTGTAAATTATTAAAATTTGATCGACACAATTGTATAATAATAATGTTCGTATCAATTTATGTAATATCTTAGTATAAAAGATTGTTTAATAAATTTCACACAAATTATTAACTTGCGGATTGACTCTCACTTACCTATTTTATTAATATTTAGAGTGACTAATTGTTTAATTTTGAGAGCTCGATAATTTACTTATATTTGAATAATAATAGTGTCTTAAAAAGATAGTTAATTTTAAAAGGAAAGAACGAATATTTTATATTATGTATTTCTAATAAATATAGATCTCTATAATTCTTTATTAAATTTAATATACTTGTGTTTCATAACAAGATATGAAATCCTTTCTGACAAAAATATTTTTTTATATTTATATTCTTACTATATTGTTATTATATATTCTTGCTATATTCTTACCCCTATTTATATTTCTTCTAATGTATACTTATCAAGGTTAATTATTGCTGTACTTTGTTAATTATCATATGTTTGTAAATTAAAATTTTATTTCGTCTATAATTTTTACAAATTGCGAATTAAAAGACTATTAATTGCAAAGGAATTTGTGAATTGTAAAACGATGAAAACGTTCGTGTTCTTGAAACACCTGTTTTGAAAGATTTAAATGGTAGTAATAAACTTTAGAAAAAAATAACAACGTTGCGTTTCACTCATTAAAAACAAGAACACATTCGTAATTATACCGTTTTACACGGTGGAGTTTGAGCGGCGACAAGAAAACCATTACATGAAGTAAAAGTACAAAATTAAATTGCAGATTATATTGTCTCGTGTATGCAGTACATAAGAGTAACGACAGTATCATTCCACGTAGCAAATATAGTCATCCGATTTTTCTTCAATAAAGTTCTGTATTTCCTGGTTTTCTATTGATTGCTTAATGATGCACACTTTTATGAATCATTAGTTGTGGATACATCACAGTAGAAATTATAAGAAAAAAAAAACAAATTATAATTGCATACAAAATACATCAGCACTTCACGTGTAACTTAAAAATCCTATGCTTATAAGACAATTGTGTTATCCTTTTCTCATCTTCAATACATTTAGATTATTTAAACACTTTATCTGAATTACTCATACAACATCACTGCTATAAAAATGATTACAAATCAAATAATCAAAAAATATTTATGATGTCCAAGGTTATTTTACATTTTATCTATTCTATTCTGTTAATCGGAAGTTTATTTCATTAAAACGGCAATCTATATTTTATCTAATAGTCTACAATTTACGCAAATATAAGATCTAGTTTTATGTTTTTTTTAACTAATACTTGTTAGGTATGACTGCAAAGAGATCTTACTTGTTCAATAATATCTGAATAAACGCTTTTTTTGCAACGCGATTGATAGATTATAATTTAAATCTTATTTATGAGTCGTAATATCTTGCTTTGAAAATTTTTTTAATTACAAAGTCCTATAAATGAAGAAATCAATTTTTTTAAATAAAAACAATTAATAACCTTTACTTTTTATGTATAATACATTATGTTAATAAACGGTAAAACTGAGAGAGAAAAAAAAGAAACAATTTTATGTGCAAAAATAAAATAAATACAGCCAATAAATTTATTGTACAAGCAATCCTTGATTATTTGCTATCAAACAAAAAAAAGTATTTTTAATTTTTCGTCTATACATTATTATTGCAAATAATTTTATCGCTCTTTTAGTTATAAGATTGTGTATAACGGCAATTAGTGACACAATTTTATTTAATTCAATAGACACTTTTTATTTATAAGTTGATTATCTTATATTGATTACCTTATATTTTTTATTTATAGTGTTTATTTATAGTTTTTATTTAAGCAACTGTGGCCATTGCTCATTGTATATAAAATAATACATAATTGTACTTTTAACAAAAAAAAAAAAGACGAAGGGAACTTACGCAGTTCCGACACGGCAATCCTGGTCCACATGGCGAACAGTACGAACCCGATCAGCATCATCTTGCCGATAATCCTGCGTGGTTGCGATGTACTTAATATTTTTTTATATGACGAGTGTGTTCGCAATTAACTACAGCGATGTCGAAAATGCGTGCGATGGCCCCGTCGAACGGATATATATAAAGTATGTGCACTTTCTCCACTATTACCCCACTCGGACGACAACGTAGAAGGCGATGGTGAATTTACGGTAGAATGCCTCCTCCTAACTCAGTCAGGGCCGTAGCCCAAGATTGACACACGACATATGCACATGCACGTGACCGTACACGCGGTTCGCATACATCCGCCGGAATTATGGGAGGACCCCAAGCATTGCAATCTTCCGACATCTCCGCGATGAGGACGCGGCCCTTTTCGCGATCTCCAAGGATGAGGACGCGAGCGGCCGTTTACGCATCGTGGTTCTAAGGCGGGATCGCTGGCTTTCGAAATGCTGTTATTGCTGCTGCAGTAATTCTCCTGTCATTTATTTCTGCATACGCGTAGCTAATAATATATCTTAAAAGAAACTTCACTTGTAACACTGAATAATTTCAGCCTTAAGCGACAAAGCTATTATATCAAATAAATCAAAAATGACGGTCCCCTTGAGCGCGATTCCTGTTCTCTGCAAGTGACAACATAACATATCCTTTTTTTCTTAAATGAAGACTATCATCTTCTTACTTGATGGCCTCAGGTGAATAATATAATCAACAGTGTGTCTCCATATTAATTATTTAAGAATTAGTGACATATACATAATCATTATTGTATTTTTGTATATTATGAAAGATGTTGAGAAAAGACTTCAAGACTTGAATAATTTTCAAATTAAAGATCATTACTTGCTCTTTATGAATCTTTTTATCTTTATTTATCTTGAACTGTTTTTTAACTTTTCCTTAGTAATTATTATATAATGATTATATAATATTACTGTGCCAACATAAATACTATTTCATCTAATAAATGCATCATTTTAATGAGTTAATTAAATTCATTTGTACGCAAATTTATTCTATTCTGTAAATATTAAGCAATTTTATTACCTATATAGCAGTTGTAATAGTTGTAATTATCCAATATCTTCAACTTGATATAAAAGTACGATTAAAGTACAAAAAAATTTTACTCGTGACTGCGTTATTAAACACGAAAGCATAACAAGCAATTCAATCTCACTTACATAATATCGTCATATAATAAGTTATACTAACGTGATGAGTAATAAATAAGTGCGTTACATATGTAAGATTAGTTCCAACTTATGCGAAAGATAGGTGCAAAGTTACATACGAGGAGATTACGATACCGATGCTGGAAAATGTCAACAAGGACTTTCAGGTCTTAGGCCAGGGCTACGATCTGTATGTTCTTTTCTTTAGATTAGACAAGAAGTTACACAATTATTAAACATAAAGTTTCATTACACGGGGTCTACAATAGAAGTCATAGTGGTAGTAGAATCTTAAGCTGTAGAAAATTAACCAATCATACAAAATATGAGAAGAATACTATTGTTAATAGATAGAACCCGCGTTAAACTCTTTTATTTGCTGTCGACAATTGTTCGTATATACTTCTAATCAGTTTGACTTATAAGTATTGACTTCACACAGTGTGGACTAATTTCAATTTATTATCCCTATCATGTTTCGAGACGTGCAATTCACCAATTTTAACGCACGCGATTGTCGCTATAATTAATGGATCTCCTTTCCGAGTTTTTTTGCTTATATTTTTTCTTTCCTAGCAATTGCTTTAATTGCTAAGGCTAAATGAATTTCTTGATAATTATCCTCGCTATAAACTTATTAAATCTAAATCTTTGCATAGATCTTTATTGATCTCAGACAGTGATGTAATAATTTCATCAAATAATGTCTGGGAAAATAGTATAACAATATAACGGAATGAAAAAATAGAAAAATAAAATGAGTGAGAAAAAATAGAAATACGAATACCGAATGGTTAAAATCACTGTCAGTTTAAATCAGAGAAAAGTCATTAATACGGGAATAGGACGCAGATGGTAGTCTACGCGTTTTTTTTTTAAATCTTCTATTATAATGATTATAAAAAATATGCGATTCATTAAGGAAAATTTATATATGTTCAACACAAAAGTAATTCATTTACATGTTTCGAAATACAAAATGATTTTCCGTACAGTTATTAGAGTCCAGAATAGTATTATTACTTGCAGTAGCGGATTTAAATAGAAATCCATGAGGCCCACATCATCCTTTTAAAAGCATAGAGCTGGCCCCACATCAACTCCGTTTAACTTAATCGACTGATTGTTACATTGAAACTAACCACTCGCATTTACTGTTAAGCAGAATTGATCAATTACGGTTGACACTTAATCGACCGATTAGGTTAATCGGAATTGATAATATCGACCCTGAGAGCTTCAATCAATTCTGATTACCTTCGATCAATGATTAGTTCATTGGAATTAATGAATCGCAATTATCATTAGCCAATTTCAGTAGATTAATTATCGATCAATCGTCGATTAAAGTTGATTAAAGTGGCCCTAAAGTTAATTTTATGTTTGTGCAGGTTACTAAATATTTAGTAGTAGAACATGGCGCATTTCCGCCAATGTGGCACCTTGAAATAGTATTTCGACTTACAAAAATAAAATCTTAACGCTTGGCGGGAAAGTGGCGCCTTTCAACGGCATCAAATGCTTTAATGAGGCACCAAAAAGTACAAGTGCAAATGTGTAAATCCGTCATTATAACTACTTGAGTTTTTTTAAATATATGTAGTGTTTAAATGTAATATATGATATAATTATCCAAACAAATAATTTATTCAGCGGGCAATTAAAAAATCTACATATATAGTATATAAATTCACACACAATTATATAGAAGCAGCCGAGATACAATTTGACCGTTACGATATATTCTCATCAGTTTTCATTAGTTCAAATAAATATATATGTTGAAAATTGTTTATGTATTATTACTGTATAAATACATTAAATGAAGAGCAGAATTTCAAAATGCGTTTTGTCTGAAATTTATAATTTACAGAAAACGAGAAAGAAAGAGTTACAAGAAAACTGCGCGTTTTACAAAAAAAAAAATAACAATTCGCCAATCAGTAAAATGTGAAATGTTCAACAAAATTGCTAAACAGTTGCTGAAAATGTTTTTTTACATTTTTTTTAACATTTATTAACAATTTTAAAAAATATCAAATTTTAAATGTTTATTTTTCAGTTTATACGTTTATTACACAAATTCCAACATTTATTAAACGTATTTTAGATGTAACTATGTTACTTGGAAATTATGTAAAATACACTAAATTCTTTTATAAATGAATAAAATAGTAAACAAAAAAATATTCAAAAAAATCTCTTCACTTGTATTGTTAAACTAATTTTATTAACATGTATATTGATTAATAAAATTGAATTCTAATTAAAATATAATTTTATAAATAATGATTTCTCTAAATTAATGTATCTTCTACACAAATAGATAATTAAATAAATATAAATAAATATATAAATAAATAAAAGAAGATATATATACTAACAAACGCATGCTAATGGCAAATTGGAAATATATAAATTATAGATATAATAATAATTATATATGATAATAATTCCAATAGAATAAGAAATGAAAAAATGTTTTAAAAGAATGTCTCAAAATAAAATCGTATCCAGACAAAAAAAATAAGAAAAAAAAATTAAATAATACACAAAAAAAAGTTAGCGTAAAGTCCTCGATCACCTCGAGCAACCGAACAGACTGATTAATTGACTGGGAAATCCTTGTACATCTTGTAGACCAATGCGTCAGCCGTTCTCTCACTAAGTCCCTTGGTCGCGAAGTCGTCGGCGAGCATTGCGGCGACTGCCTCCGCAGCTGTTAAACCTGGAGAAGGAGAAGGAGGAAATGGAGGAGGAGGAGAAAAGTTAACGACAGAATAAGAAATTAACCAAGTTAATATATTGCGCGAGATCGTTTCGTTACGAGTTCGTTCGGTCGCGTTCACAAGAAAGTGGGAACTTTTACTCGAATATATCGGCGTTTCTGCGATCGGCTCCGATAATCCGCGACGTTGATTCAGACACAGATCACGACTATACAATAGTATATATCCCGTTTTTCCTCGTATTCCGAAAGCGAAGCATTTTAAGAATGTATACAAAACATTTAAAAATGTAAAACACAAAATCTTTCTTGCCCTACCCTCTATACATGTTATGCATACTGTTTATGATAATTGCCAACGACGTGCAAGATACTTGTTTTCGATAAGCGATATCGTCACATCGCCGATCGGTCTACGTTACTTTCCAAGAAAGAATTCGGCTTCTCATTTTGCCAAGTAATTACAGAAGAATCACGCCACGTAAGAAAAACAACTGACTGTACATAATCGGCAAGAACCAGATTTTTAGCTGACAATTGATTTATGTTAGCAATTAGCTGCTAATAATTATTTATACTTATTTTTCTTCGTTAAAAAAGGATATGTACTAGAAACTAGTATTCCATTCATATTTTTTTAAAAATATATAAAAATTTGCAACAAAGAGTAATAACAATAAATAAACAAGAGCATTTAAACTAGAAGCAAGTTCTTTTCTGCGTAATAACTATATATTCAAATATAATATAAATAAAATTCAAATACAATTTAAATAAAATTTGAAAATTATTCAAAATTCAATACACTAAAACATTATAATTAAATTTCAATATTTAAAGTAATTAAAATAAAGATTTGAATAAAATTTGAACCTAATTGTTATGCGCGATAAAGATTGCGTTTGCCTTTTATGCTCTTTATTTATTAATTTGAACAACTTATCGTATCTTATATTTAAATTGTACGCTCGTACTTACCATAACTGAGAATAGTTTGCACAGGTCCCTTCTCGTCCATACCTTGAAGATTGATTTTCTTATCTTTTACAGATAGCTTCGCTCTAGCACCACGAACTATTATCAATTCTTCATTAACCTTCTTCAGTTCCAGCGTGAAGTCGCCCACTACATCGGCTGTGAAGGCAATAGGAATGTATAGCTTTGGATCATTTTCAAGCATATTTCATAAAATGCGAGTATTTTCTTACTAAAGTTCCCAGCGAGTAGACCATTCCCATGTAATATCTCCTTTCCTACTTTTCCCATAAGCGTGTATTGAGACTTCACTCGAAGTAGCGGGACGCGTATTCTCAAAATCACATGCATCACATCGTCCTAAAACGTTTCCAAACATATAAATAATAGTCACAGTATTTAGTCTTATCATTATAGAAATTTATTGGATAAGGAACACTTTTTTTTAATAATTCAATTTTATTGCTAAATCGAGAATGTTTATAAATAATAATCTTACTTCAGATGTCAATTCAGGATGCGCTCGTTTCGTTCTTTTGGTATCACTGAAATTTTGAGAGACGCTATCATTTGTTACATTTATTCCACCATAATGATAGAGCAGCTGCATGCCTTCTTCGAAGTACCCTTGCTGTTCTTGATAATTTTTCGCATATCTGATTAGATCCTTCAATTTTTTGGTTTCCATCGCAGCGTTAACTACGTCGTTTCTCTTTTTTAGAGCTTCACCTTCCGTAAAATTGTAAATAATAAATTTTGTATTCTCTCGAATATTCTGTAATACAAGAATTTGCAATCAAAACATCTTATAAATTGTATACAAAAAACTTTCAAAAATACTAATAAAATTTTGTGCAATAATTTAAAAAAGATCGTAAATTAAGAGAAAAGAACTCTTAAAGACCTTCATAACATCTTCAATGCCGTGTACTTTCAGATTCTCTCGAGAATCAGTACGCAGATTACCGAAACGTTTTACGCTATTATTAGTTTTATCATCCACATAAACAATGTCGATATAATCGGATCGCTCACTTGTTACGTCTCTTGATTTATCTTTGCTAGAAGACTCAACGTTTGATCGTTGAGATTTTTCTCTATTATATAACACAGGCGGTCTTATATTCTGATTTTTCAATCTAGTCTCGGCTATTTCTGATGCAGAAACCTGTTACAGTTTGCAGTTTGAAATATTATTGGTTATTAATTACTGATTATTGATTATTAATTGCATCTTATTTTATGATACGTGGTAAATTACGTAAAAATATTATATAACAAAGAATGATTGTACTAAAATATCTAAAAATGTAGCTAAATACAAATCTGAAAATAATTTTATTGGACTCAAATATTTACATAAAATAATAATGCATAATGAATAATGCATAATTTTGATATTCTAAGAATCAATTCGAACGTGCTATATAATTATTTTAATAGTCCAATAAAATTATTTTCAGATATGTATTTATTTTAAATTTTGGAATACTTCAACAAAACTGTACAAATTATGATAAATATAATTAATAACTTGCTAAAATTATATCATAAAGAAAAATTGATTTCTTCTTCTCTCTCTCTCTCTCTCTCTCTCGATTTAATTAATTAAATTATAAAATATTATCATAAAGTAAAATAAATTTTTAAACCTCAGCATCCCTGATTTGTTCTCCGTAATATCCAACATTGGAATTTTGATCATATTGTCGACTATCTTGATGTCCTCTAAACTGGGAAGATGTCTTTGTATTATCGCAATCAATGGTATCTTCAATATTCCGTAGACTTCCGTGATATCCTTGAAAGCCTCTCGTGTTCTGTGTATAAATAGGCTGAATGTAGGCTGGCCGCTTAAAACTTTCGGCGTTTCCAGAATTTGCTTCAAAATTGCTTGATAATCTCAAATTGCCTCTATAAGAACCATCAGATATGACATCAGAACGCAAAGGAATCCGGCGGTCATGCTGCTGATTTTGCTCGAATATTCTGGCGCCGTGTTGATCTTGCTGCAATCGTTCGAAACGGGTATTCTGATATCGCGAAAAGGGCCTTGTATTAGCAATTCGATTCGCAGGCGAAACGACGGCTTCGAAACTTTCCTTAGGCACACTGGGTTCTCTTATCATAGTGTGGAATCTATATCTAATAGAATCCATATCTCTGAGATCGCTATAACTCACGTATCCGGCTTCCGATTCACTCAGATTGGACTTCAGTCCACCACGAGCGACGTGGATACTCTCCAAGATCGATCCGTTAAGCCCGATAATCTCCAAGTTCTTCAAAATCACTCTGTAATTGGTATCGCCCTCGGATTGATCAATCTTAATTAAAGGCACCCTCAACGGGTCCAGCTTGCCTATTTTCGTCATGTCCCCTGACACCGTCTTGTTCCAGAGCATCTGGGATACCTCTAGCAACCCACATCTCGTTAAAGTTATCACAGAGAGCACCAGAAACACATAAAGGACACTTCGCTGCATTAATTTACCCATTTTATCGGAGTCGATGATTTATGCCAGACCTTTTCAAGACACTGTTAAAAAAAATTGTCGATTATTTCAGTCGTATTTTATTAAAATCTGTAAATCTCGAAAAGATTCTTCAGTTTCCTCAATAAGGTACGTCGATTTTCCAAACGTAAATCGGTTTATAAATCAATACTAATATGATACCAATAACAACAAATATCAATAAAAAACACACAATAATCGTACATATTAGCATGCGATTCAACATACGTTAATGCATCTCATCAGTTTATATGCGCACTTCTAGATAATATCTTAGGAATAATTACGATTTCTTGGAAACTATAGGTACAACATTCAAGAAAGATTAACAATCGTGAGTAAGCATAGAGGGATGTAGACTGCAAGCCGGCGGTGCACTTGATGGAGGTTTTTATAGTTGATCAGGGTATGGAAGGGTATGGAAGATCGGGGCCATGGACCAGTCTTATATGATGCTAGTTAAGTAGCTCTTAGTCAGACATCAATATATTTTCTTCGACACAACATTTCCTTAAATTCCTTCATTACGCGATGATGTAATGGAGAGCAAGGTCCTCGGACGACCTTGTGGTAACAGATACTGCTAACAATTATCATAGATAAAAATTGACAGTTGTGTAGATAAAAATCTAGAGTTCAAGTAAATATATTCCTCGTAAAGGATTAATTAAAAATGAATAAGCAATTGAGAACTAAGTCACACTTATTATTGCATATTCATCAAATGTAAAGTTAACTGTGTCACAAAGAAGACAAATATCGTTGCATGTCGAATAAGCATATCGACTCATAATGGAGTTCATAAAGAAGGACAATCGCCAAATCAGCGCATTGCGATGGTCGAAATAAAATTCATGCATTCAGTAACACTTTGACGTACTGACAAGTTATTTTACTCAAGGAATTCATCGTAACCAGAATGCATATCAGTGCGCACATATTTACATTCTTGTTTGTAATATCTGCATTTGTTGCAGTGAAAACTCGTGATATACGTAAGTAATTTATTAATTGTTTTATAAAACTGTACGTGTATATTTATTTTTTTTATTTATACAATTATTACAGATATATAATATATAATATATAATAGGTGCTTTCCAATTGATGACACAAGTCGACACAAGAATCGTTCTATCTTTCTTGACATTTAGAGATGGATAAAGATAGAACGACACTTGTGTCGATTTGTGTCATCAATTGGAAAGCACCCACTATATACATAAGATATAAAGTGTTTTATATTAATAACTTTCGAACAATTCTGAAGAGAACAAAGTATATAATAATTGTAAAATGTAATTGAAAGATGATTTTTTTTCACATTTTTTAAAAAACAAAGTATTTTTATAATTTAATTTCTATTTAATATATTACAGCAAAGAAAAGAATTAGTAATTTATCTTCGAATTTATACGCATTTATACATTTGCAATTAAATTTGATTTTTTATATTGATTTTGTAGGCGTCTTCTTATTTAAGTATGAAATTTAATAATATTAATATTATTTATATAGCATTATTGTAATCGAATGAATCGCATAAAAAAACAATAACGCAAAACCTAAAAATGCTTTATAAAAATAGAAGTCACATCAATGTGATACTTAACTCATGATCGATCATTACAAGAGCATTTCATAAAACTAATAGTTTTGAAATTTAATATTTTGTATGTGTTGTGTGTAATAATTTTTATTAATATAATGAATGATAGCCTCAAGTTTTTATTGATCTTTCCAACGATTTATATATTCAGAATCAAATATTAAATAATTATATTAATAATATTATTATATTAATAATATGATAATCGGAGAAACGGCGCGGTAAATCGTCCAGAAATTATTGTACAGTAATAAATTGATTATAAATATAGTTGAAACAATTTACGCTTAACTTATACCGCGCCGTTATTCCCGTTGTCATATTATTATAATTTTTTATTATCAAGAGAAAATAGAGAGTCCGTTTTTATTTATCTCAAATATTAAGTAGCACCAAATTATTAAATTATTAACATAAAACATTATTTTAATCATAAAATTTGCGAGAAAATATTTTTAATTACAAAACATACATTTTCTAGCATCGTTTCTAAAGATATGCCATCGCAATGATCCAAACCTAAACGAATGCGTAAAGCAAAGTATCAACTCGTTAAGGCCTTATCTGAAGATGGGCATTCCAGAATTGCAAATACCACCTTGTGAGCCACTTCGCGTGCCACAGATTGAAATTAGCCAGTCGGTCGGTCCAGTTTCCACCAGATCGACATATACCGACATCGAGGTTCAAGGAGCAACGAGTTTTATTTTAAAAAGCGTCAAGTATGTATATACAAGGTGCTCAGTGTCCGTACAATTTTTTAAACACTTCCGACAATTAAAAAGGAGATTGATGGTGAATATTTATCCGTTTCATATGAGCTACAATATGCGATAAAAAAATTTTAAAAAATTTTTTATTAAAAAAGTGAAGGTCATTTTAAATTTTTTATATAGTATCACACAATTTTTTTCCATAATTTTATAAAAGTCTTCAAGATGAATTCAACGCACTATCGACAATGTCACTTTTATCAATGTTTTATTAAAAGTCAAGTTAAAATTAATGCCTCTCAAAAATCCGACGTCTGAAAGAAAACGTTTTTTATTTAAAATTATATATCAAATATTGCGTTAAAATTATTTTTATAAATCCTTAAAAATTGAGTGCAGAATTTATTTAAAATTATCTTTTTCAGAATTAATATCGATAATGATCGCGTTAGATTAAAACTGTACCTCCCACGTCTTGAGATGAACGCGCACTACAATATGAAAGGAAATATTCTGATGATGCCTATCAACGGAAACGGATTGGCGCGTAGCAATTTTACAGATATTAATGTCGTAGCTATCGTACAAGGTGAACGTTATCAATCTCAAAAAACTGATGAGACTCATTATCGCGTTACTGACTTCTATGTAGATCTCGATGTTGGACAGGCCAACATCCATCTGGATAATTTATTCGATGGCGATGATACTTTATCTGATGCTATGAACTTATTTTTAAATGACAACTGGAAGGTTGTAGCGGCCGAAATTAAGCCAGCTTTCGAAAACAGCATTTCGGAAATTTTTAAGACATTTTCGAATAAGATTTACTCGAAATTTCCATTGGATACATTGCTGCCCCCTTAAATACATTCTTATTTTACATTTAATTTTCTTTATAAATGGGACATGTTTAGAAATAAGTCCGCGTATTTATTACTTTTATTCTCTATTTGTTTTAGTTATTTACGGATTTGTTATTACATAATTATAGTTATACATGTATTCCTTTATATTATTTTTGTTTAAAATAAATAGGCTTTATAATATAAAACAGCACATTAATTTTTTATAGTACAAAATGTCATAGTAAATAGGATAATTAAATAAGTACATATACATCGATATATAATATATGTGCAATTTTAGCTGGATACGTAATTTTAACCTTTTAAATCGAGAATGTAGTTTATATTATATAATCTTGCGCAGCTAGAAATGTAAGGAGACACGTTTTCTCAGTTAGTATGAGTAAACATCGTCAGCATTTTAAATGTAGTTGCACATGCCGAAAGAATAAAGCGTAAAAATGTGACGTATTTAGAATATTTATTTGCAAAGACGTAACTCTTGTACTCCGTAGTATAAGATACTAACCCCAAAAATGCAATAATACAGAATAATTTGTTATTAAATAACAAAAATTAATAAAAAAAAATTAAATAAAAATAAAATTCTTTCATTAGTTTTTTAGAAAGCTTATTTTGAAAATTACAGAAATGATAATGTATTTTTTAAATTTGTATCTCAATTTTGTTTAAATAATAAAACAACGTTTTTTACCATATAATGATTATTAAAGTACATGACAAAAAAACTTCAAAATTTTATTTTTTTTTAAATAATAGAAAATAATTGATTTTCTTCCAAATATTTGTTTGTAAAATCAAAGTTATCTTTGTATTTTTAAGTAAACATTTAATAATAAATTTTTCATTTTTATATTCTAATATTTAGGTATAAGTTCGACTATAGCATAATTAATCATTGTAAATTTTATTAAAATTTATATAAATTTTAGATATAGAAAAAAATGTTAATTATTCTAATTTCCATATCCAAATATCCATGTAAATCTAAAATATTATAAGGGAAGAGTATAAATCGGACCTACTTTGTTCTCTATAAGGCGTAAATAAAGTCCGATCATAAAACCAATGGTTCGAAAGATCATTTAATTTCATCTTCATTTTTGCTTCAAACCATTTTGACGTATCTCTTATCTGTGTCGAACTTTAATGGAAAATGTAAAAATACATTTTCCGGTCCGATTTTTATGGATTTTTAGATAGAATTTTAAAATATGTTTTAATTAATTTTTGTTAGTATTGAGTAAAAACGAACAATTTAAGACTCAAAGATAAAAATACAGTTTATATTATTAGAATTAAAATCAATAAAAAATTCAATCCTAGTCTGATAACACATGATATTTTATTGATTTAGTGTTCCTTAGACCAGATCTGGTCGGTCGATCACCAGTACTACAACCAGGTTGTGGCAAACCTTCTTTCTTCGATGAATTAGCTGGCTAACTCGTCTTTTAAGTGTGTCTTTTTGTATAAATCCGATTTGGACACGAGTTCTTTCAAACAATTGGAACAAATTTTACAATAAACCGCAAAAGTATAATCACAAAACTCTCGATATTGTTTAATTCTACACACTTTAATTATCTTAAATCAATTATCGTTCAAATTTTTAACATCGTAAATAATGATTTACAAGGATTTTCTTTTTTAAAAAATTTTCGCATGATAGCCAAAAATACATATTTGCGTCTATTGTATAAACGTTAGGACGGAGTACTACCAAACTACTGTCACATGTTCGGTGTCTTATAAGGACTTTACATTATAAATAGCACGTAAATCTGCTTA